CGTTGTGACGATGTTACCTCACTCTGATAATGTCCGTCATATGACAGACGAAAGCTTAGCACCTTTTCACTGGAATAAAAGATTACCTCGGAAACAGCGTCAGCATGAATCTTCTAGTAAAGCCAATCGAAAGCTGGTCAAGAGGAATCCACCGTCGTTTTCTGGTAAAACCGACCTTCGAATCTCTTCACCCAACACTTTCACTCAAAATGGGATTAAGCTCAATAATTTTTGTTACATTTCATACATAGCCATGGCTCAACATCTTTTGGGACAGAGATCACGTGGGTGCGTGACTAATCCTGACTCTTTATTTCGCGTCGTCCAATCAAAGTTGAAATGGAAAACTATGCAACTATGCTAGCATTCTGTTTAAATATGTCACGTTCTTTTCCTTATCTTTCTTCGCTCCGCCGTGTCCCGAGGGGTTCAGAATGTTCTGTCCGGCACCATCTTTAAATGATTGTCTTTGTATTGTAAGCTCCCACATACTGTATTTCGGCCCTTTCAAAATAGCACAATGGTGATAATATTCGTTCCTCTTCTCTCTCCGTTTCAGGGCATAAATTTTTGAAGTTGCAGAGGGTAGGCGTTTTATATCTTATAGACAGTCCAAGCCCTTCTTTGAAACAACATATATATATAAACCTTAAAAATAATAAAATGGATCGTCCTGTCCCCTCGTCCAAACAAGCCGAAATTCATTTTAGCGCATACATAAGATAATTATAATTATCTGTATTCAATTTCATTCTTACTTGACAAGCGCCAATAAGGCATTCCTACGAGCACAACACCAGATACGAGTAGGCGCAGTGGCTTGGGAGCAGGAGCGGATCGCTTCCAACACCTTGTCTATGCGGCCTGAGTAGAGCTCAGTAGGGGCGGCAGCAAGTACGCGCAAATAGCCGGCTCGCTCCGATTCCCGCTTAGAATCGAGTTTGACGAGGATATGCTTGATTAGCTGGTCTTGAAACGTAGCATATCCAGGTGATAATGTACAAAAGTGGTGTAAGGCACATTATATAATGAAAAAAATCATTTCGAAATGAAATTCATTATACTAGTAACTATTGTCTATAGATGGAAGATAAATAGAAATTATAAGTAGCATGTCG